GTTTTCCAGGGTGAATCGAGCAGCACTTCCATCATTCTTGACGGCTTCAACTGGGCTGCCAACGACATTGTTACTAAGAAGCGTACCAGCAAGGCTGCAATCAACATGAGCTTGGGTGAGTTTACAGTGCTCTTCACTACCGGCACTCATACTCGGGATGTGCGAGCGCTAACTTGAAAAACACAGGCGGTGGCTACTCAAAGGCTTTCAACGATGCGGTCGAGAACGCATTTGAGCAGGGTGTTCTCTCGATTGTCGCTGCCGGTAACGAGAACGTATGTCTCCCCTTCCTTGAGCACAGACGAAACCGTCACTGACTTAATTCTCTTAGTCTGATGCCGGCCAAACCAGCCCTGCCTCTGCCCCTGATGCCATCACTGTTGCCGCTATCAGCAAGAGCAACGCCCGTGCCAGTTTCTCCAACTTCGGCAAGGTCGTCGACATCTTCGCTCCCGGTCAGGATATCCTTTCCGCCTGGATTGGCTCTTCCTCTGCCACCAACACCATCTCTGGTACCTCCATGGCCACCCCCCACATTGTCGGCCTGTCCCTCTACCTCGCTGCTCTTGAGAACCTCAGTGGCCCTGCTGCAGTGACCAAGCGTATCAAGGAGTTGGCCACCAAGGATGTCGTCAAGGATGTCCAGGGCAGCGTCAACCTGCTTGCCTACAACGGTGCCGCTTAAGTACCTGGTGTACATTGGAGTGTTTCCCCATTGTTGCTGGAATACAGTGGTGGTTAGAAAACGAAGAGTGTTTTGATTCGGACGGATATATGCATGGCACGCATACAGCGTGATACATAGGCTGTTTGCTCAAGAATTAGGATTTTATCTGAATCCATGTACAGAGTTTACTTATGTTAGTAGTCAATGAAAACTTGGCTTTCTAATTTGTCCGATCTACAAGGAGTAGCCAGTTGCCGAACGAACCGGATGTGCAGGGCATGAAGATCACCCGCACTTAGCAAGACCTCTAGTATTTGACTATCATAGATTGAACGAAAATCATGACCTGATTTCTCGATTGCAGACCAAATCACATGACAAGCTCCTCCTCGCGGTGGAATCAGTGGTCGATTAGATCCCGGGGAATGAACTAGGGCTGGCGTTACAATTCCTGCGAGAAGCCAGCGACGCTGCTTGTACGGAAGATAATATGTCTACTGGTACACAACCAAAGTACAGATTTACTTTAGAATACATGCCTACAATAATCTTCTAAGATCGAACAAGCCTGAAGGTGTATATTCCTAGGTTCAAAGCCAGCAACACCGGGATAAACGGTTCCGTGTCGTAGTGATATATATTTGAAATGCCCACCCTTCGTTGAGTCAAATCTGCTAAACGAAGAACCATCGATTCTTCCGCCACTGCCAATTCCTATTCCTAATAAAGTTCATTATAGTAGAAGTCATCAGACCTCTGTTGAGAAGTAACTTGCACATAAAAAAAACTCTGCCGAGAGCCGGGTGATTGGATCGAGAAACGTGAACGGCTACGAAGTGAGGACAGCCGGGGAATGGGACCTCCGTATTTTTTTTTTTTTTCACAAGTCTATGCTGCGATTTATGTATTCGTTAGTTAGTAAATGGTGTGATTCCATCCTTCTCCCTCGCCACTGCTTGTATTGACTTCGGTGGTCTTATATCAATGATGCCAGTGGGTTGGGATATGTTACCGGAGGCACAGCAGCTTCTTGAAAAACGCCGGCTGAGTATCGTAGCCAAAGAGCCTAGACCTATACTGCATTATATTAGGTAACAGTACACGATACCAATAGTCAAATTGGGTAAACTACATAGCTTTTCTCGGTTACGACTCGGAAGGGGGAAGGGTGGACCTAGGTTATACATCTACAGAGCAAGGCGAGTTCGGATCATTTCACGTAATATAATTCGTCCTACGTCCTATTGGAGGCGCATTCTCCACGATGATACATAGGTCATAGGGTGTAAGGGAGAAAGCCCGGAGAATTTCACGGTTTCGAGCTCGACCTGAAGCTCCATGTCTTAGCCCTACCGCCGACGAGCAATGCTAGTTTGGTACAAGAGTTCTGGGAGCACCCTGCCACAAGGGACTTTTTCCTTGTCCTTCTCCAGTTGACGCGTAGGCTATGGGGCAAAGAGCGCTCACAAAGGGATAGAAACGCTGACGAACATTGCTGGCGACGCCGAGCATTCTACTAGTCAGTCTTCCGTCCGGTATGTAGATCTTCGTCTCAAACGAGAGGTATGGCCACCAAGGGGGTAGCTCTTCCAAAGTTTCTCGGACGCTATATTGCCTCAGCCTAGGTGGTGAAGGACCAAAGAATTCGGATACCGGCCGTTGAAATGACTTCAGAAGCACCTAAAATGGCCAACTGTGGACCAGGTGACTAACCTGTGCCACTGGGAATAGCATCATACCTCCCTCGACATTTAGCGGGGATCTGCACCATCCAGCCCCTTGCATTCTGGGGAAAAGAAAAAAGCTTGCAGCTACGTATGTCTGTTTGATGCTCTGTTTGCTTCAGCAAGATGTAGTTAGGATTATTAAGTCAAAATCCAGATGTTGGGACCCTACCTGATATTTTATGCTTACTGCTTTCAGCATCCAAGTTTCTTCATTCGACTTGGTCTATTGGATATCTTTTGCCGCCCAAGATGAACGACAAATTGCCCGAGATCGCCATGTCTCAGTTTGAGACAGACAAAGGCATTTTGGAGCCACATTTGAGACAATATGGCCTGGAGTTCGCGGCTGACGGATTCCATATCCGATGGGCGAAAGGAAATCAGCGTCATCCTCGCAATTGGAGCATTGTACGGAAAGCTTATGACACTAGTTTGATCATCTTCCTCGAGCTCTTCACGTATGTTGACTGTCTGCTGCTTCGTACTCGATGAGGCTCCTTGCTAACAGACGGCTGTATACAGGACTGCCATCAGCGCGTCCGGCGTACGTTCCCCAGTCTCCCTCCCTGCCCCTTGAGAACATAACGCTGAGTATCACAGTCTACTGCAGCCAAAGATGCCATACCTGAATTCAACATCGAGAAGGAATTTTCTATATTTGTATTTGTATCAATGTCCGTTCAACACCTTTCAACCCTTTGGACTCTCACCTAAATTGCGTTTTCTGATGGCTTGTTGGACAATAGATATCTGTTGGGCCAGGGCCTCGGTTCCATCGTTTTCCCTCCGTACTCGGAAGCGTTCGGACGCAAGAACCTCTATGTACTCAGTACGGCGCTGTACAGTATCTCTTGTGTCATCGTGGCTGCGGTCCCATCTTTGTCTGGCGTTGTCATTGGTCGTCTTTTCAGCGGAATTGTCTCGGCGATCCCGACAACGGTTGTGATTGGCAGTATCGAGGATATGTTCAATGCTAGAGACCGCGTCTGGGTGCTTTGTCTCTGGGCCATAGTGGCTAACCTAGGTTTGGTGACCGGCCCCATACTGAGCACCTTTATCGTGGCGGATCTGAACTGGTATGGCTTCGCTTGCCTAGACTCTGACCCCAGTACTGACAGGAACATCTAGGCGGTGGTTATTCTATGTGGCCGCCATTGTGACCGGTATCCTCACCTTCATCCTACTGACCCTCCGCGAGTCTCGTCCCTCATTGCTGCTGGCACGCGAGGTGGAACAGCTGCGCAAAGTCACCGGAATCGAAACGCTTCAGGGATTGAACCCAGACCGCACACCAGACCTGAAGACCTTTGTGCGTACGGCACTGTTCCGTCCCGTGCGCCTCTTCTTCACCGAGCTTATTGTCTTCTTCGTGTCCGTGATCAGCGCCATCGCAGTTGCTCTGGTTTACCTCTTCACAGAAGCCTTGCCTCCAATCTACGAGGATTTCGGCTTCAGCACTAGACAAGCATGTCTCCCCTTCATTGCTATCGGGGTCGGTCTGAGTTTCGGGTTCTTTACCCGCTATATCGATCTGCATATTATCGATAAGCACCGCCAGAAGGGCCAGCCACTCCTCCCTGAGCACAAGTTGACGGGTTTCTGGATTGGGGCCTTCATTCTCACCGTGGGACTCTGGGCTTTCGCCTGGACGGTGCCTCCATACAGGACCGACCTGCACTGGATAGTGTCTGTCTTATGCCTGGTGCTGGTTGGATATTCTTTGAACGAGATTGAGTACGTGCTGGGCGGGTACTTGACAGACAGCTATCTTAGCTATGCAGCCAGTGGACTGGCCGCCCTGGCTATTGTCCGAGCCCTCTTGTCTGCCATTTTGCCGCTCATCGCTCCGCCCATGTTCTCGAACCTCGGCAACAATATGGCTATCTCCGTGCTGGCGATCATTGCGACCATGTTCTGTGCCATCCCACCCCTGTTCTCACGGTTTGGAAAGCAGATCCGCGCCAAGAGCAAGTTTGCCAAGTACAGCTTGCGCATGTATAACGAGCATAGCGTTGACGAGGACGGATATTAAGTCTGATGGCTTATGCTTCAGAGCTAGAAGAATGATTCACGGCCTTTATACCTCGTCGATGTGGTATAGATTATGAGGCAAGAGGATATGATGAGCAGGAGATGGATACGTGATGGAGAGGCAGCGTTTCCAGCCGGGCCGATAGTTTGCTATAAATACGGAGTACGCAGGGCGAATTGATGATTTAATTAATTACTCTTTCATGTGGTACGAAACGGAGGTATCATAAAACACGATGATTGTTTTTTTGGAGTTCGCTGTCCTGTTTCTTCCCCCCACCCCATGATTGTGGCATCTTTTATTTTTATTTTATTTTATTTTCTTAAATAATATAGCGGCAGTTCCAGAATAAATAAATAGATCTTATGCAGTGTTCCGTCTTGGATTGAAGTAATTTCTTTCCCTGGTTTTTCTGCCAGGTCCAAAACCCCCTGCCGCTTCAACCTCTCCGCCATTTCTCATCTTCTCCTTCGCAAAAGCAGCATCCCTTTCCATCTACAATTATTTACCTCCACGATTGGTATTGTTTGCCCTTCTTGCTCTGTGAAATTTTTACTCTCTGTCTCAGTGCAGAATGGATAATCCGGGAATTCAAACCTCGGATCTTCCCCATTCGCTCCATCTTGACTCGCTCTCAGGTGTTGCTGAGGATGCATCCACATTGGCAGCGGCACAAGCACAACACCAGCATGATATCCAAGAACATGTCCATAGTGCTGAGTCCACTGACGCGCAGTCATTGCATCCTCTACAAACGGCCGTTGGTACCTTAGACTCATATTCAATCCAGCAACAAGAGGAGCAAAATGAAGCCCAACCATTTCGAGAACCATTCAACAACCTACCCGTAAGTATTGATTGACACATACATACATACATACATACATACATAAGCTGGGGATCCCCAGTCGCAAGTCCACCTTCATACAAAATCTGGCATATACTCAAAAACAATGGCTAACTGGAAAAGCCCCGCGACAATTCCCATTCTCTGCACATGCAGCCACAGTGCAATACCTTCTCCGAGGCTTCGATCTTCTCACCCAAGCAGGGCGGCTACCTCCGAGACATGCCATCGGTCGTGGACCCGCCTGATCTGGACCTGTGGAGAGAAAGGTTGTTTAATGTGGATGAGACGATTGTGCTAAGTGAAGAGCAGTATGTTTTACATCTCTTGTCAGCTTTTTCTGTATATGTACCTACCAAAGCGAGACCGGGGAGATATGGGCGGGTTTGTATGAACTCATGTGACGGACAACCGATCTGACAAAAGCCCCGATAGATTCCTGACTTACTTCCCGCACGTGGATAACATCTACTCTCACCGTTCTACGCAGCATTACAAACGCAAGCCGCTCATCTCACATTATTGGGACTGTCGATTGAAAGGCCGCCCGCCCGGGACTCCCAAGTCCGATGATCCGAACAAGAAGAAGCGGAAACGAACAGCGCGCCAACGGGATCTCTGCGATGTGAAGATCAAAATCACGGAGTATTTCCCCGGGTACAGCCCGATGATGATCGCGGAGGGCGCCGCCAATGACGCCGGGGCCGCTCTAGGCGCGGAGTCACTCTCCAGCGGGGAGGCGGTGTTTCCTCCGCCTGAGGATCGGGAGCCTCGCGATCGCCAGCCATTTGGGGTGCTGACGCCTAATCCGCCGTTACCTGAGGGTCATCCTGGGGCCAATGGACAGCGGTTCTTCACCATCCAGCGGGTTAACGGGAACGGTGCCAATGGGAAGAATGACGGGGTAAGCGGTGGGCATCGGCATACATTAGAAGAGAGTGATCGGGTGAAGAAGAATAGTGTACAGCGGTATCTGCTGAAGGAGGCGAGGGAGAAGAAGAAGGCACATTCGGTAAGTTAAAAATGCTCTATTCGTTGGATTTTGGCTTTTGTTTTTCTATCCGACAAAAAAACCAGACACGAGCCTTACGTCACATCAACTCTCCGAGCCTTAATCAATAGGAATCCATCATTCCTGCGTCTCTTTCCTTTCCCCCGCTTTCTCATCAATTATCGAATGGTCTCGTTTTCAATGTTCCTCAGATCCCCTTTCCAAATACAAAGACGGCGGCTGTTTTCCTGCCAGAAGTTCCCCGCCATTTGTTTACCCCCAACAGTTCTACCCTCGGAGTCTAATTCAACCCGCACAAAAGGTCAGGACAATGTCTACTCAAAACCAGCCGCCACAGAAGACATATCACACAAAAGCCACAGGCTTAGCTGCTGCGACGGTGTTGAATCGTTCCAGCGTGAATGAACTGAAATTGTATGGCAGCTGTTTCTGGTACGTACTATATAGATATAGGTATCTCCCATAATCTGAATGTGCTTCAAACTAACTTCCCCCAGTCCCTTTGTGCAGCGTGTATGGATAGCCTTGGAGGCCAAGGGCATTCCTTATCAGTATATCGAAATAGATCCCTACAAAAAGCCCCAGTCCCTATTGGAAGTGAATCCAAGGGGCCTTGTCCCTGCCCTGCGACACGGAGATTGGGGTTCGTATGAAAGCACTGTTTTGCTAGAATATGTATCAACCCCTACGACTTAACGTGAGTCAAGCTAGAAGAGATATTGACACTTTCATGCAGCTTGAAGACTTGAACACCGGCCCGCCCCTGCTCCCGCCAGGAGATGCGAAGTTGCGAGCCCATTGCCGACTCTGGGCAGATTTTGTGAGTTTCATTCAACGTAATGCCCGTAAGAGGCATACACTGATAGATGCAGATCAATCGCAAAATAGTGCCCAACTTCTACCGCGTCCTTCAGGAACAGGATGAGCAGAAGCAGATTTCAAATGCGCAAGAGCTAAAGGACGCATTCGCGACGCTAGTGAATGCCGCCGACACACAAGGGCCATTCTTCCTGGGGGCTAATATGTCCTTTGTGGATGTCCAGGTGGCTCCTTGGATCATTCGATTGAACCGCGTCTTGAAGCCCTACCGCGGTTGGCCGGACCCCGACGCAGGGAGCCGATGGGGCGCTTGGGTCAACGCTATCGAAGTTAATGAGCACGTCAAAGCGACGACAAGTGACGATGAGCTCTATTTTGACAGCTACGAACGATATGCCCGTGAGTTCCCTTGATGAGGAATCTGTTGTCAGGAGACTGACGCGCGTCCAGAAAACCGCCCCAACACTTCTTTGCTTGCGAATGCGATCAATTCTGGAAGATCTCTTCCATGATCATTGTGTAGGGGACAGTATGAGTAAGTCTCTTGGAACAGCCTACTAAAGTGGTGTGGCACGAGGCTGTTGAAGGGCTACCCTCCAAGTGATCAGTAGCCCTAATGGGTCGTGACCCGTCCCAGTGAGAGTATTTCCCTTCGCGTGGGTTATGTCGATCTAGCGCCTCTGTTGAACCGAAAACCGCCTCTACCACTGCTGTCCGGGCCTCGAGGGCTGCGGATGGGCTGCCGGGGAGATTGCTGGTCATTGGTCGGTTGCTTCTCTTTCCTCTGTACATAACTTGGCTTAGGAGAATCGGGATCGTAGAGCTGTTTAGATTTTCCGGGCGCTGCCGAAGAATCTCTCTTGTCTCGGTTGTTGTCTCTTCCATTACCACGGCTTCTTCCTTTCCCTCTACCCTCGTGTTTTGGCGGGGTCCCGCTGCGCGGTGACGATGCGCCTGATGTAGTGCCGGAGGGGCTCCCGAACAATCTCTCACGTACTTCTTCGTACTTGCGTTGCTTCTCTTCCCGATTACGCAGCGCAATGGCTTGACGTTCCTCGGGAGTAGGCTCAGGTGGTTTATTGTCATCGTCCGAATCGTCATTATTATCACCGTTCAAAGCCAGCCGTCCAAGACCAACGGCTGCGGCGTTGACAGACGATGATTGCCGAGAAGGGTGCGGATTACGACTCAAAAGAGTCACTGTCGGTTTGAACTCCTGCTTGAGAGGGACAGCAGAGCGCGATTCCAGGAAATGGAACGTTTGCGGAGTTTCACTGTATGTAGAAGCACGGTCAGATTGCGATTGCTCAGGACATGGACAGCACAAGAGACAGGTGGTGGTGAGGAAGATATACGTACGCTTCCGCCCATAGTTGCCGGTTAAATTCCGCTTGCTGCGCCCTGCGCTGTGCTTTGGTCACTTTGGAGGATACTTTCTTTTCCGGTGGAGGCGGGGTGGGGTCGGACGCTAAGGTCTGCAGAGAAGTTCGCGGTCAGATCAGTGGATTATATAGAAAGTGTATCCAGAACGGTTGATTTGGTCCTAGGATACCACTATGTATAGCAAGAAGGAGGGCATACATCGGCTTGTCTTTCCCAGTCATCTTCCCATGCATCGGGTGTCTCAGCGGAGGACTTCGCGCTCATTGTTCACACGTATAATCTATGGGAAAGAGAAGAAAAATGCAGATGCAGAATGAACAAGAAATTCCAGATGCAAGTAATGTATACCAAGATAGAATAATCCAAATCAAACTCTCTCCAAGAGTAGGGAAATCGGGGAAGTGCAAAAAGAGTGACGAGGGAGGGGAAAGAGAAGTAAGAGCCATTGAATTCGAAGAGGGAAAATCTGCTGTTGCTTAGTTAAGGTTTCTTTCGGGGTTTACTCCGCCTTCGCATGAAGCACCACGTCAAACCAGTTCACGATAAATCCTACTGCTCGAAACTGACTGACGATATCAAGACCCGCTTTCGCTACTTTAAGCTGGAGTTTCTCATCCTTCACCCTCAATATGGCCACTGGTATGTACACTCACTTCTCTCTTTGTGTGCACCCTCCCTCCGCCCGCCATCAAGCCTCTCGTTCATCCCGCTCTTTATCCCCGCATTGATCCTCAACCCAAGGCATCCGCTTCCCAAAACCCGAAATTCCAGATCCCACTAACCAACCAACCCAGATCCAGACGGAGACTCCCAGATGGCCTCTTCTCCCGAATCCTCCCACATGCACTCCGAAGACTCCCCAGTCGGATCTCGTACCCCTACCAACATTCGTAGCGCCACCTCCCAGTTCCCAGGCACCTCGGAGCTCTCTCCGCCCGGATCGCAGACACAATCTGTATCAGCTGATGTTGGGGGGCTCGCCGGACTGGGCAATACCAATGCATCTGGAGGCTCCGCGGAGACGACATCCGCTCAACAGCAGCAGCAACCGGGGGCATCGTGGAATAACAAACGGGCGGAGGAGGAGTATCACCGAGCGATGGAATTCGTGATTGATCAGGACTTTAACCTTGGTGGGTTCTACCTTGCCTTTCTATTTGGTAGCTGAGGGGCTTGATTTCTAGGTATGATTTGGATTAAGGCTGACCGTTGCGGCACATAGACGAGTTCGGGGACCCATTTGATGACAGGGATATGGAGGAGAAATTATTCTAGAGATATGGGCTACAGGTGAACATGGTGTTTAGGGTGCTTTTGTGTTCTATAGTGCTTCTTTTCTTGGGGGATTTGAGTGTGATTCCTAGGTTGAGACATGAATGATTTATGAGATATGATTGTCGATTTGTGGGGTTTTCTGGGGAAATGTCTGGCATGAGACGGGCGATCGAGTCTAAAGCATTTTATGATCCATAGATATCTACTAGAAGAAGAAAAGTGAAGTCCGGAATTGCAGTCGGTCCAAGTTGGCGGTAGTGATGGTCATTTACGGTGTAAGACAAAGATGCAACATCCAACGGCGATCTACGGAGTAAACATGGATCATTATATCATAGACATTTTAAGTTAGCCCACATAGCAAGCCTAATGAGCCATTCACAGTAAAGAAAACGTTTCTTAAACCAAAAAAATCCACTCATCATTGGTCAAAGGAGACATTGGTCTCATCAGCCTTTGTGATCTGAGCAGCCGTTGGCACAGCAACGGGCCGGGCCAAATCCAACGAAAACAATTCACTCTAGTCTATCATTTATTTAACTCCAGTCTCCACGCGCGCCTCTATCACTTACCACGAGTCGACCTTACTCTGCATTTAGTACTGGATCCCTTCATATCTATAAGATTGTGTATCAACATATCAAGACATCAATAGCGCCCACCGTCATTGCCTATATCGTCGCCGTTTGACGTCACGATTGTTTCCACTACTCGCGTCGGTGAAAGAGATAATGTCAACCACCGACGAGTCTGCGATGCGGGCAGAACCTGGTTTACAAAAATGGTAACTATATCTCGCATTTACACATTCCACACATCAGGATTTTGAAGGACACAGATAATCTACCTGTCCCAAGCCGAGGCATTGATTCGTCTCCTTTGAACCCCCCTTTTTTGGTTCCCGATGCTGTGACTGTCCCAACGGGGAAATCTCAGTCACTTGGCATAAGCGCTACACCTACGGGCCTTACACTTCCTGAAATAGTCGCTAATCTGTTGTGAATCGCGCGGTTTCTACAGTCCCTTTCCAAATCCTAAATTCCAACAACTCCAAGACGACAGGTTTCGGTTCACTCCTGTGAAAGTTGTGAAACCCGCCCCGCGCATCTGGGATCGCCAGCCTTCCACCCCGTTCCTGGCGCGTCCCAAATCGCGGAAGGTGTGGAAGCGCTTCCGCTCCTCATTCAACAGTATGAAGGCGCTGCAGCGCTTGATTTCCGCGCAGAGTGCTCCTGATGATCACGACGACCTATATACAGAAATCAACGCGTCGCGGAATGAAGATTACATGCGTGGCATCAAGAGACGATGTCTCGTGCATGATTCCGAGGAACAAGTAGAGATAACGGTGTCCCGAGGACGCTCTTTTCTAGAGACAAAATGGGAGTCAGAGGCCAGTGGGAAAAGGCGTAAGTCACCATCGCGTGTCCCTATCATGTTGTTCTTGAGGATCCAGTTTTGACTTTTACTAGGTAAATTTCCCGCCTATCGCGGTCTCGTGGACAGCTCCGAGCCTATCGTAGCCGATTCTCAGGCGCTACGAGCCAGCGACAACGGCGACAGCGAAACTAGCTATCAAAATGCACCCGATGCTGCCACATCAGGTGATGAAAATTTGCCGGATACGGCTGAAAACAACGAATCGATGGATGGTAGCCCAGACACACCTACCAGATTGGCTGCTCCCGCGGCCTATCCCCGCACGCTACATGGTTTAGAAAGTGGGATGGATGGAACCACTGCTGATATAAAGGGACCTGATGATCTCAGTCTGCCCCAGGCTGACCTACCTGGATTTAGCTCTCTGGAAGCTGGTCCTCCGGAGAATATAGAGGAGCAGGAAAATGATGCTGTTTTGGATGCCACTATGACGGATGATCTACAGTCTGGATTATGCGAATCACAGACTCCTGCAACGGTGTCTCCAGAGAGTGTGCAGCAGATAGACGCCACAGAACCACCACCAGCGGCACCCGTGCAGAACCTGACTGCAGAACAGGAGTCGACTTTGGTTCGATCGGCACTACGGAGCTCTTTGGATGGCGAGGATGCCCAGTTACTTAATAACTTTTTGTCCAAAGCGAAAGCCAAACGAGAGGCCAAAGCCGCAGCAGCCGCGATGGTTACGCAGGATACAGAAGAGAAGGCCGACCCGGAATACGTGGAGATCCCCGAAATTCCCACACCGCAAGGTCGTCGGGTTCTGGAGGATCTGGATGCCAATTCACCCTCACCGCAGAAAGCCCAGTTATCCCCATCCAAGGCTCCGGGTAAGGACATTGACGAAAATGAAGATCAACGGCCTTGCAGTCCCCGTCGAAGCACCCGAACTCGTAGTGTCAAGCCCCCGCCGCGGATGACTACTACGACTACGGCGGCTCGCAACACCTTGACGCTTCGTCGTGCGAAGGGAACCGAATTCATCTTTCTTAAAAAAACAGAAGCCCAGGAACTGGCACTGGCGACTCGTCGGAACACGCGACAGAATAAAGGAGATGCGATGTTACCGAAGTATACACTACAGACTTTGGCTCAACAAACATCGGATTCCGATGCCACTTCCGATGACGACAAGTCTGCACGCGATTCTGGTCGACGACGGGCGTCCGCAAAGAGGGTGTCATGGAACGACGAGCGACTCGTTGAGTACGAAGGTGAGAGTGGAGAGGGGAGTAGCGATGACGCTGCTGGCCGGGGAGGGAAATCTAAAAATTCAGAGAAAAGAAAGGCGGCCAGTAGCCGCACGACGCGTTCGCAGGGTCCGTCGAAGACTGGTGGTGACACCGTGCCGGCTGCAGCGACTACTGCAGCGACTACTGCAACTCCTCGCCCGCGGCGTGTGCGGCGACTGGGAACACCGAAACCTACTGCAGCCGTTGACGCCAGTGCATCGCCGTCCACCAGCATGAGCCCGCCCGAAACACGCAAAAAGCTGATCCCCAAGTCTCCCCGGACGGCATTAGCGGGAAGTAGCGTATCGAAAAAAGTCTCCCGTGTCAGCACTCGGAGTGACACTCGAGCGTCATTAGACAGTAGCTCACTGAAGAGCTCAAGTCTTTTCAAGGCCCATGCCGGGTCAACACCGATGCCAAGGCGAGTGCGATCGTGACCTTGATGGTCCGTCTGAGCATTTTTTTTTTAACAAATCTTCTTGAAGGCTATTTTTCGGCTTGCTCCCCTGGTACAAAGTGTAGGACTGAACAGCTGTACATATTCATAATCCTGTCAATATTGTCTTCGACCATTAGTGATCTCAGGAGTTGGACGGCGTTGGTTTAGACACCGGATTTTGCTATTTACATCCATAATATAATTCTTGTTGTTCGCTGTCTTCATGCATTTGTTTGTGGGCAGGCTGGGCGGAGATGAAGAAATCCGGGGGAAATGGAGAAGACGCACAGAGCCTGATCGGCGGTGTTTGTGTGTCGGGTTGCATGTGATTTATGCAATCTTACCCCAACCGTCAACCTCCATTCTGGGTTCTGCTCGTTTGTTTACTGTGTCCATATGAACCCCCGGCTTTCACTCACGGCCTCGGGCCTTGATGCCGATCTTTGTCAGATCAACTCTCAGATCTCGCTTAACCTCCTCCAAGTGAATGCTCTTTCGGGAGAAGGCAGCACTCATCATCCTATCCGGGTGGTAGGCTACCGAGTCTTTCCGTAGAGGGGCCCGGGATGTGGGATCATCACGAAAAGTAAACACATTATTATGGAGCAAGTCTTATTATCTGGACTCCATCTACTCCATAATACGGTGCAATCATGGTGGTGATGATGAACTGCCTGCAGATGTGGTGAAACTGATATCCAGTGGTGTATGTTATGCCACTATCGTAATACCTTTACTTGTATTGATACCGGACTTCGAGTTAATACCTCACTTTCCAACGACTATAACTGCACCGGAGCAAAAAAAGCGAGATCCAAAAAAGAAGAAAATGAAAAATTAAATTGGTATAGCCCAAACTCCCTCGATGCAGAATGATATCACCCTCCCCCCCCCCACCGCTTCCTAACTAAATTCGACCGAGATATCTCCAACGAGGAACCAACACCCGACCACCATCAAACCATCTACCGGGAACTATCTACCTATCGAGCTCCGATCTTCACGATAGGGAACTTGGCTACTCTTAGCAGAATTGGCATCTTCAGTAGAATAAGGAAAGTTTACCTACTCTTCGTTTGGATCTCTGTCAATCAAAAGACGCACCCCTCTACAAGATATCTGCTACACAGCGGCATGTACATGATATCATGTACCTAGATACATACATACCACCCTTACCTGCAACATCCCAGGTTCCCTCTCTATCAAAACGCCTCTGGCTTATCAGGACCCAATCCCTTGGAAGCCTCTCGGACCTATGGCACCCTTCCAACTGTCCATTATGAAACATGCCTTCCATCTCAAGTCACCGGGGTATCCATTACCTGAGATAAAACCAAATAAAGAAAGACCAACAAGCCAACCATACTTGGCGCAGTACATTGTCCTACAGAACAGGAATATGGTGCGGGTGTCCCTCGGTTCCTGAACCATACTTAAGTTTGATAGACAAGGACGAACCACTCAGTTACATCCATTGAGGGGACCTACTAGTATGATGATACTACCAATCTACCTACCACCGTATCAACGAAGAGACAGGATAAGAACCGCGCCGACGCTACCCATGCCATCTGCCCCAAAATTTACCCAAAGAGTAAAAAGTCAAAATCAAACAATGCCCCAAATTTAATCCCTCAAAAACTCCAAGTGGGAATCCATATCCATCGTCCATCAAATCATCGCAACGCACCGCCCATGGCCAATGTAGGTCGTCTAAGGTACTGTACCTCTCTGCCTCATACTAAGTGGGACCCCATCCATTCCCACCTTTCCCATTTCATCTGTTTCCCCACCGTCGAAACCCGAGTTTATGATTGCATCCCACGTCATTCCCGACATGCCCTCCTTTCTGGCGGGAACCAATAAGGGTAGGGTTCCGGACGTGTAGGGTTAGGTTTTGGAATGGTCACGGTTCCACTGGGCTGCACGGGCTTTACCGCATTGGGGGGTTCGGTGTTTTAGGGCTTTTCCGGATTTGCCCACCGGAGAGAGTGTGAAAAGGCTCCGGGATTTCCCGATCCTTTCTTTTTTTTTTGAGGCTTTTTGTTTGATGAGGTTGTATTGGTTGTTTTCTCTTCCGGCGTTGTATCTTCCGCCTATCTAGGTAGGTACTTGTATTAGATGGTGAGGTTCTTACTGTATTGTGCGGGATGGTGGTTGATGTTCCTTCTTGAGCTGGTTCCTACTTGCTTGCCATCTTCCCTTCGTATCTAGTACTAGTACTAGTAGTAGTATTGACGGTCCTGTTCCTGGGTACTATGTACCAAATCTACACAGTGCGACAAGTAAGAGCTCTACTGCCAATTCCGTGTGTAACTATCCCAAAACTCAATTGAATCCATCTATGAACTCAATGGAATGGGATACTCTAAACAAGGGGAGTAATAAGTAACGTTGTATGTAGACTCGGGATCCATTTCTCTTGTTCTTACCGGGTCTGGCGCATAGCGTCATACTACATAACTTACTAAAGCGTTAGCCGACCTGTCGCATGTCATGGAGGACTGTCCTCCGAGTCCACCTTCTCATCTGTGCTAATTACAGTAGTAGGATGCACGTCGCAGGGGTAACTGCTTTCGAGGGATGGTTCTGGTTCCATAGAGCTTCAACTTCATTGTATTGGTTCTCTCACTTTGATTGCCAAAGAAGGTGTGTGTGTGTGTGTGTGTGTGTGCCCTGGGCGGCTAAATAATTAATTCAAAAATTATTCAATCAACCTCTTTCAAATTCTAATTTGATTATTTTTGGGACTGCTTGCATTGGGAAATTAGGTCTTCTGTGTGTATATTCTATTATTATTCTATTTTTTTTTGGGTTGGTTTTTTCTTTCTTGCTTGCTTGCTTTTCTTTCTTGTATGGTACCTGGTAAATTTTCTATGTATGTTATTTACACAAAGTATTCCATCCAAGTGGTCATGTCGTAGGCCGTGATATTTCTTCGTTTGATACTATGGGAATAGGTAGCCAATGTATACTATATGTTTTCGTCTCCCGAACAACTCTCCAATTGTTTATGTCCTGCATAAAGAAAAGAAGTCTATTGTCCCATCCAGAGCTGTTCTGCTTTAAGCAGACAGGTTCTTGGCGGTCTCCTCGGGCCACACGTCGTAGCCGAAGGTGTCCTTCATGTTGACAAAGCGGAAGTGACGGCCCTCGGCGACCTTGTTGACGGCCGCGAAGTCCTCGTCGGTCAGGTTGATGCTCTTGAAGTTGGATACAATACGAGCGGGGTTGGAGCTCTTGGGGAGCACAACGTAGCCGCGACGCAGACCCCAGGCAATGAGCACCTGGGCCAGGGTGTTGCCGCCCTTCTCGGCGATCTCGTTGAGCGTCTTGTTCTCGCTGACCCGCTCGCCGGTGGTGGGCACCTGGTTCTGGGAGCCCAGGGGCGAGTAGGCCGCGGGGAGGATGTCATGCTTGAAGCAGTAGTCGACCAACTCGGTGTTGGGCAGGAAGGGGTGGACCTCAATCTGGTTGACATGAGGCTTCACCTCGGCGTACTTGAGCAGCTTCTCAAGACCCTCAATGGTCCAGTTGGAGACACCGATGGCCTTGGCTTTGCCTTCCTTGTAGAGCTTCTCCATGGCGCGCCATGTGGGCTCGGGGTTCTCAGTAAGATCTTTGAGGATGACGTACTATGATGGTTCAGTTTAGCTTCCGGGAGATGAAACTCGGCTGCAGAGGATGATATGGTCCATACCTTGCCGTCGGCGCCAATCTTGGGGTGCTCCTGGTCCTCCTTCTCGGCGGCAATGGGCCAGTGGACAAGGAAGAGATCAACGTAGTCCAGTCGGAGTCTCTTCAGGGAGTTCTCGACCGACCACTGGACGTCCTCGGGACGGTGGAGGTGGTTCCAGACCTTGGTGCAGACGAAGATGTCTTCACGCTTGACCGAGGGGTTCTTCTTGAGGAAGTCATGGATACCGTCACCAACCTCATCCTCGTTGAGGTAGAACCAGGCACAGTCCAAGTGGCGGTATCCGGTCTCGAGGGCGGTCGTGACGGCCCGGTAAGTCTCGCCCTTGGAGCCCTCGCTGGCGAAGGTACCGAAACCAACACCGGGCATCTTAACGCCATTGCTCAGCGTGAAAGTCTTTCCGTTCGACATGTTGGGCAGCTGTGATAATGAGATCTGGGGTTTTGGGGGGGGTATAGTGCGAGTGAAAGGAGTTCTAAATGAGAAGCTTTCAAGGACACAAGGAGAAGAGGGGTTCGTGGGGTGGTATAGTAGGAAAATATAGAGAGAGGGGTATATTGACGAGCGCAGTCGAAGCTCCGAGAGAAAGGTGGGGTGGAACAACCACAGCAACAAGGAGGGGTTCAGTCCAATGATGAAATGCTCCTTAATTTCTCTGGTTTATACTTGTTCACCAGGGACTGGTTGATCGATTATTATTATTATTATTACACTTTTGCTTCTTCCGGCGGTCGAGCTCTCTTTCCTGTCGGTGGCATTGTCTGGCTATTCGCTTCCATCGTTCTTCTCGGTTTCTTTCTCGAATTGCCCTGGTTGAGGTGAGAAATGATGTGATGTGACATTACAGCTACCCCTACTACACAGTAATACACACCAGGTACACGACAGAGATACCGACAGACAGACATGCTACGACTAGTTCTCTCTAGTCCATCCGCAATCCCCACTCCATGACGGCATCATCAAACAACCACCACAACCCCCAGCGGTTGCAGCGAAAGGGTAAAAAGCGTACCGGCATGGAAATGGAAATTGAAATGAGAATGGACGACTTTGTACTACGGGGACTCCACCAGCCGAGAAAGCCGCCATGACATCATTTGATTTCAGAGTCGAAACGGCGTGAGCGTTTGACCCGCCGCCGCCCGCTCGATCGTCATCGTCTCCATCGATCTCAAGCGCTTCCCATGGGTGGAAATCTTTGACGGCCAATTAATCGCCACCCTGGGGGGGCCCGCTGGAACCTCTCCTGTCCAGTCACCGTGCAGGATGGCTTCATGCTGGTTCGGAGGATCAGCTCTCTGGATGCTCGTTCGTGCAGTGAGGGAGGGAAGAAGCCTGGAGGGGAGGGTGGTTGAAAACAAATTCAAAAAAGAAAAAGAAAAGACCCGATGGCCAATGGACCGGAGAAGGACTCCTTCTGCTGTAACCCTCCCGCCCCGCCGTCCTGCACTGGTTCGGGATTAGCCTTAGGCAGCTCTCTGCAGCTTCTCTTGGTGTGGTGGTGGTGGTGGTGGTGGCAGAAAAAAGCGGATGGGGGACTGAACTCTTACCTTCTCCGTACCTCAGGTATTACACTTTCTCAATACCACAGGGTCCTTGGATGGTCCGTAATTTTACAATACGGGGGGACCTCGATCCACGGGTAACTTCCTTTACGAAAGCTGAATTGGGTCTAGTGGGACTCCGCCGTACCCGCAGCAGGCGTATCTCTCTCGCCATCACCGAATCAGCTCGATGCAAATACCAAATTCGTTGATGACGATAATTCTCAGGAATTCATCGATGATGATACTCCTTCGACCAAAAAAAAAAAAAGAAAGAAAGAAAAAAAAAAGGATACCCAGAGTGGAGCCCTGGGTTATGATGGCTGCGTGCAGGGTAATAATAAAATTAAAATAATAATAATAATAATAATAATAACATGCCTCTTTTATGGAAATGGAATTGACCGCCACTGGCACGGTTGGTATATATTAGTATCCAGACTGCCCTCCTTGAAGTCAATGGTTATCATCTTTTCTTCTCTACCTCTCATAACACTCCCAGGAGACTGCCCTATAGCTTGAGGAAGCTTGTTGGCTGTCGATCCGTTTGTCTTTGTTCCAGGAGTGATATCATCACCTCTTCTATCTACATCATCAGATCACCCCTCCTCCCCCTCCTCCTCCATCTTCTCCTCTCCCTCTGATCAATTCTACCGATCTATCTCGACTTATCTTCACAATGCCTCGCTTCGACGACGCTGACTTCGCTGTTGATCCCGCCCCTGCGGCTCCCGGTACTGCTCCGGCCCCCGCTGCTCGCTCCCCCCGAGATGGTCGTAGCAGCCTGGCGGGTTCTCTGCCCATCCCCAATGATGCGGGTGCCACCATTGAGATCCCCGCCACCCGCAGCTCCATCAGCGATGCTGCTCAGTACATGCACAACCTGAGCCTGGCTCCCTCGACAAGGGACCGTCGGGGCTCTCGCAACTCCTTCGGCACCTCCCTCCCTATCCCCAGATCTCCCCGTGTGTCTCGTCTGGCATCCGTGGTCGCCGCGGATGGCAACTCGGTTTCCCGCGACCTCCTGGCCTCTCAGGTCCAGGACATGTCCAAGGAGAAGGTCGCTGCTGCCAAGAACATGGCCTTTGCCTTCGATATCGATGGTGTCCTGGCCCACGGTAACCATGCCATTGAGCCCGCCAAGGAGGCCCTGAAGATGCTCAACGGTGACAACGAGCTGGGCATCAAGATCCCTTACATTCTGCTCACCAACGGTGGCGGTAAGACCGAAGCTGCCCGTTGCGAGCAGCTCACCGAGGTTCTCGGTGTCCCTATCTCGACCGACCAGTTCATCCAGTCTCACACCCCAATGCAGGCATTGGCGGAGTACTACGAGACGGTGCTTGTGTTGGGTGGTGAGGGCCAGAAGATCCGTGAGGTCGCCGAGAACTACGGCTTCAAGAACGTCGTCCACCCCAAGGACATTGTCGCCTGGGACCCCACTGTGTCTCCCTGGGGACACTTCTCGGAGGAAGACCGCGCCCAGGCCAAGCCCCGCGACTTCTCCAAGATGAAGTTCGACGCGATCCTGGTCTTTGCCGACTCTCGTGACTACGCTACCGACATGCAGCTGATCCTGGATCTCTTGCTCGCGGAGGATGGCAAGTTGTTGACCCGTGCCAAGGACCCCGTCGCCTCTCGCATCCCCATCTACTTCTCTCAGGGTGACCTGATCATGCCGACCGACCACAAGGGACCACCCCGTCTCACCCAGGGTCTCTTCCGTATCTCCATTGAGGCTCAGTACAAGGCTCTCACCGGCGTCGACCTGGAGCGTGTCGTCTACGGCAAGCCCGAGCGTGCCACCTACACCTACGCCGATGAGGTCCTCAAGTCGTGGATGGAGCAGATCCACAACGAGAACCGTCTCCCCAAGAACATCTACATGGTTGGTGACAACCCCGCTTCCGACATCTGCGGTGGTAACATGTACGGCTGGAATACCTGCTTGGTCCGTACCGGTGTCTTCCAGGGTGGTGACAACGACACCAACAACCCCGCCAACTTCGGTGTCTTCCCCAACGTCTTGGAGGCCGTCAAGGCTGCCGTCCGCAAGGAGCTTGGCCAGGAGTTCAAGTTCAAGTGGAACCCCAAGGTTAACCCCGTCACCGGCGGTGACAGCGGCTCCGCTGTCGAATAAACGACGATCATGCCCAAAACCTAAAAGAAACAAGGAACTTCCGTTTCACTGGCGTTTGGTTGATTCCTTTGATATTCTTCTATCTACCATATTTTCTTTCTTCCCACTTTTGATGCTAGACCACAGCGTCTTTCATGGTTTCTATTTTTCACGGGTTTGAACTTTTGATATCCATTGTCACCATCTAGCCTGACACCACCAGCAGTGCGATGGTTGATCTTTTTTCCTTTACATTTTTCAATTTAGACTGGGTTATATTTATGTGATGATGCAAGGGCATCAATGAACAAGTCTTGTTTTAAAAAACATCATGAGGTTCAACTGGGTTTGGATACACGTATAGATTTCTTTGGCTTAGATTTTTAGCAGCAATTGAAGCGCCTTGTGGCACGACCGCAAGCAAAAACTCTGTTTCAAACTTCTTCTCGAGTCGTTGACGACATTCTGATGTAGGCGAACTTAAAGCTTAACCCAATCACTCCCGGCAGTCCATTCATAGATCAAGAGGATAACTTGAATCATGAAAGCGAACCCTCTGGAACCGCGTAATATCGTGCCATCTCCCAATTCTTCCTATCCTCGTCTGCATACCTTTTTGAAAACAATAAACTAGAAAATCATGTTCATCTTCCCGGAAGAAAAAAAAAAAAAGAAAAAGAAAACTCTGCCACAGAGTTTTCACCAACGGGATATCCCGGCATATACCGATGGGCTAATGCATGGCGTGTTTCGCGTTCGCTTAGAATCAACCTAACCACAGCCACACCCGAGAAGGTCCAACATGCCTCCGAAGGATTCTCGGGTATATTTGCCATCCCGTGTTCGGGTCGGCGTGGCTGACCGGAAAAAGACCTAACGGGAAGAAATTTTAGACCTCGAATGGCAGGGTTGCATTAGATTTACAGCTTCGTGTATACATTTGCCACGTGGGGGTGGTAACTGATATGTGAGGTATTTACTGGGAAGTAGGTTTTCAAATACAGCGGTGGAAATCTGAGGTCGTCTATGTATAACGTTTACTTGTGTATTGTTCTGTCTGGTGCTCTGGGTCTGGTTTCGGGGAGGTTGGACGGGTCTCGGATATTGGACCCGGATAGGTACATACGTAGAGCTGCGGGAGAAGTGGAAGGGAAATTAATCGATCTTGTCTTTTCGGGGGGATTGGGGAGGTGACGTAGATTGTCTGCTTGGAGGAGCTGAGTTGGACTTGTATGGCTTTCCTGCGAATCGGTTATAGGTAGAAAGCGATATCCTGTACGTCATTCTCGATCTCGACCTCCTCTGCTTCATATAGTAAAGTCGATCTGTGGGGCGACGCTTTACTCTGTAGTATAATAACATGTGTGTTGAATTGAACCGACTCTACACTAGTAATGCAGATGAATGCTATATAGTACAACATCCCATTGGCAGCGAGACGCTACTCTATACATAGTATATACAAACCACCAGAAACCACTCATCTCTACCTCAAGAAAGATACTACACGTCGAACACATATCCAATCAGTCCTCACTAGCTCCAAATCCCCCCTCAAAGCGAAAAGACACATATAAACAACCAAAGTCCAGCTCTGATAAGCTACCCTCCTGCACAGCCGAACCCCATATGCCACAAGAAGCAAGCCAAAACCCACCATTCCCAAACAGAGATAGACAACCCAGACTTGCTGTTATCAGTTTAGAGCTTTCACTTAGTGCCATGCAGGATCGCGATACCGACTCCTGAAATGGGTTAGCAAAGATCAAAAACGTCACGATGGAGATCTTATCAATCTGGGCGCCCCCACAGCCTAATCTCGATCTGGGGATCAGCAAGTGGGTAATGACATAAGTTCCGCATTCGAGTCCTCAATACATGACGTGCGTTTTTCTGCGGTTCCTGAATGGCTGCGAGAAGCGGTATCAGAGTGAGGCTGGGATTGGATCGTTGCGTGAGAACTGGTGTTATGGTGGGCTTGCTTTCTGGAGTATATGGAAGGGTTTCTGTGCTTGTTTTTCTGAGGCTTGGATGACTGGTTTTCTCTTTTGCTAAGGTTTGGGGATCCTGGTTTCTTGGTTTTATCTTTGTGGGTGTGGATGGTTTGGTTTTTTGAGTCCCATACGTCGTCGTTCTCTTGTATAGGGTTCGTTTTTTTTTTTTTTTCCTGCAAATGTGAAGACGAGGCAATCACCGAACATAGAAATCGGGTTGGCTACCAGTCGTACGTAAGCCGAATATACGGTAGCTTGTAATTGTAACCTGGAAGTCCTAAGTTGTATTTGATCTTTAGTTCTACCACAAAATCGTGCCTTCTCTTCCACCACCACCATCATGTCCCTATGTTTTTCAACAAACACATTCCTAACAAGGGCAAACTACAGTGTAAACTTTTATACCATTTCTACCCTATGTATTTCTGGGCCTTAAAATCACTGAAGTCACACTCTCGGCTATAGTTATATGATCATCACCCAGACTAAATACTCCTGCCACAAGAAGTAGCAATATATACCGACATTCCAGTCTGAAACTACCTCATATCTCTTGAACTCTCACGTCCGAACTGGTATCTTGAGAATCATCACCCAATTAGGATAGAAGAACAAGATAGTAATACTCTTTGTAATTTTCTAGCTCTGACTATGTACACAGATATCCATAGCCGAACGAGTATACATCTCGAGAACTCTACCCTAGTGCCCGGTGATATGGATATGTTGCCTGTTTAGTGTTGTAGAGACACATAGATACCTGCATAGAAGTTCAAACTTCTAGTAAAATGTCTCGACAATATTACCCTGTAGTGGGGATTCTTCGAAATGCCAATTGTCAACCCGTTCAATGAACACATCTGATCCACTTCAATAAGATCATCAATATGAATTATATGTGCTTCCTTTGTTGATATTCTATAACCAAGGCAATAACTCCATCAGGAAGGCTGTCCGAACGTACCAAACAACGAGGTAAGCCCTGCCAGGGAAATTTGTAGTCCTGGTCAGGGTTCTGGTCAGTTCAGCATCAACTTAAGAACCGGAATACCGGGGAGAGAACGACCGTTTATGAGAGGAACATCCTTGGCAATAC